TTTTTTTTTTTTTTTTTGAGAGAGATTTCTGCTATAGGGCACATGTGCTCACCAGAAAGATGGAGACAGAGAGACAGAAAGTGAGAAATCACCTCCCAGGGGAGATGGCCACACCACAATCCCCTCTCCTCCATTTTTCTCTCAGGATGTTGGGCTTGCACATGCATGCATGTGGCGTGAGTCTAAGCCACCAGGTTTGGGACTCGAACCACAGTTGACTACACAGGAGTTCAGCGACATAGCTATTATGCCAACTGCTGGTCCCAGACTTGTGTAAACTTTAAATTGTGTAAACTTTAATTATACTCCCAAGTAACAGAAATGTGCATTTTCTTTCTTTTTTAAAGAATCATTTTATTTGACTTTATTTATTTTAATTTGACCAGAGAGGGACAGAGTGAGAGACAGAGGGGGAGGTGGGGGAATGAGAAAGCAAGTCACCAGGTCTGGGACTTGAACTGTGGTTGGCCATGTGGGAGTCCAGAGCCCTTAACCGCCACGCCACCTGCCAGCCCCAGAAATGTGTGTTTTCTATACTCTGCAGAACATTAGAAAAATCTTACCTTGTTATTAAATGCTTGTCAATATATATCAAAATCCATTGATTATATGCCTAGGTTATCACTAACTCTACAGTATCATTTTCCAATAGAACTTTCTGCAATGATAGAAATGTACATATAGAATATATATTACCAATATGGTTGCCCCTAGCCACATGTGGTGACTGAGCACCCTAAGTGTGGCTAGTATAATAGAAGACCTGATTTTTAAATTGTATTAATTTTAGTTAATTTAAATTTAAGTAGTCACATGTGGTTAGGGGCTACTGTATTATATAGCATTGCTCTATAGTACATATGAAAAGATTATAATTCTGTCTTTTGAATGCATTGATTAAATTAATGTTAAGATAAAATATGAGGGGCTGGCAAGTGGTGTGGTGGTTAAGGGCACTGGACTCCCACATGGCAACTGCGGTTCAAGTCCTGAACCTGGTGGCTTGCTTTCTCACCTTTTTTCTCTCTCTCTCCCTCTCTAACTCTGTTTCTCTCAAATTAAAATAAATAAGTAAATAAAGTTAAATAAAATAATTCTAAAAAAGATAAAATATGAGTAGATTAGAACTAGCATATGTTTGTAAACAATTAAGTATGTGAAATAAAAAAATTAAAAGAGACCATT